GACAGGGTTCAATGGAGGGCTTGCACTCAGCAGCGGAATCGCAACACATTCGGACCATCCCCAAAGCTCAGCACATCTGAATCTGACCTTCGAACTGCGAGTCTTTTACCCCGAATCCAGCGCAATTCAGCGGAAGAAATCCCTCCACACACCTGAGGTCGATCTATTCCTTGAGCGTTCCCAAGAGGCGGAATTGCTTGGTCTATATTCGGATATGCTGTCTTCCGAAACTCCCATTTGCTTGTCGAGCGACTGAAATGCATTTCGTGGCTGCCATTGATTCCGGGTCTGGTCCTAATAGACCTAAACACAATTTCTCAAGCCAAGTCCTAAGCCACAGCCCCACTCAACCAGACCGTCGTCGTACCCAAATCAGGGCTGGAGAGCTTCCATCTACATCCTCAGTCGAGTCGCATGCCACCTCCTCATCTTAGAAGCTGAGTGGATACCCTTTACACTCTTTGGGATAATATAACCCCCTATAAAACTGAAAGTGTACGCTTTTCGGGGCTTATGATTTCAGCAACAAGTCATCAAAAATCCACAAGGCCGTATGGACCCTTACAGAAATCGTTTGACACATAAGCTTGCCAAGGAACCCCCAAAGCACCTTAGAAGCTCCCTAAGCCCTAGGCTAAACCAAGCTTCGAGTCTCCAAAAGAGAAAAACCGACGCTTCATACAAAAGCGCCCGAAAGCGCCCGGCCTTAAAAAGAAGCCCAGACCCCCCAAAAAGATGGGCCTTCATCCCGAAACCCAAAACCACAAAACAAAAACACAAAAAGTGAAACCCGAAAACCACCAACAAAAAGCCAACAAAAGATGCTTTCATGAGGGAGACAAGGGGGGAAATCCAAAAAACAAAACAAAAGAAGAGGCCTTCATCCCAAAACCCAAAAAACCACCAAAAGAAAGCCAAAAAGAAGAGGCCTTCATGAGGGAGACAGGGGGCCTGCGCTTCCTGAGCATCCTGAGAATTATCAGGATCCTTCGCTCCTCGGCGCTTTTAGGGGAGGGGGGGGGGGTTGGGGTTTAGGGTTTAGGGTTCCTTCGCTCCTCGCCTTCCGAAAGCGTAAATGCTTTGAAGGTTTAATCATACACATGCCCAATAGTAATACACTCTTCCAATATATCCACATACATAATGAGACTATTGGGGGGGGGTCTCGGGAAAAGAGGGACATCCTTGGGTTCAAGTGGTGGGGGTTTGGGGTTTAGGGTTTGGGGGTTAGGGTAAGATTTTGGATTTTGAAGGGTACCTTAACCCAATCAGGAATCGAAATGTGCATTTTTAATCCTATCCCGACCATGAACTAGGTTTAGGGCCGGTTGCTTGGAGGTTCATGGGTAGTTATCGGTGGGTCAGTAAGTCCTATAATGGGGGTTATAAGGTTCAGGCTTTGGCAGGTTTAGGGTGAAGAGATTCGGGTAAGGGCTTTTTTACATGTAGATACTACAGAGGTTGAAGGGATTGGTGGCTTCAACCGCATCCCTACTCCTGCTTGGGGTAGTTTCCAAAGCTACTCTCTCCGGCACTCTGTGCCTTTCCCTCTCGCTTGAATTCGCAGAGTCTCAAGTCTTCAACCGTCTAGGCTGTTCAAACCATAGGGTGCAGGGTCCACCAACAATTGTCATGTCACGTTTTCAGGCGATACAGAAATGGGCTGGGAACCTTTGATTGCAGCTCTCATATCATGGCTGTGCTCAGAGGGGCCTGGGATACAAGAGAAGCAGCCAACATCCCCAGCACCGATGCCTTAGCTCATTGACCCCTAAACGGCCTGAACGCCACTTCTCTTAAGCCGATTTGTTTATCCTACCCTCGAACTCCCAAACTCTGAACTTCGAATCTGCAGACGGACGCCCGAGACTGCGGTGAGAGTTGATTTGCAACCCTATAAAACCTAGAAGCTCTTTGCTTGAAAAGCCCTATAAACCTTATGAGTCCGTACGAGCCCTATGACCCTAAAAGCCGCATAAGCCCTATAAGCCTCATACCAGCGGTATAAGCACGCATGAGCACCACAGACCCAGAAAGTGAGTTCTGTGTTAGTAGCCTTGATCGTTGCAAGATTGAAATGTGCCGGAAACCTTGAGCTCTAAACTGTTCAAGGTTTAGGGTCAGGGTATTGGGAGTATAGGGTTTAGGGTAAGGCCAACTATCAAAAGCCATAATCCTGGCCTAGCCCTCTAGCGCGTTCTTAGAACTTTGGAGTGCATGTTCCACCCGCTGCCTACGAGATTCGGGACCTGGGTACTTCAGAGTCTTCTGATTCGGTTTAGGGTTCGGGTCAGGGTTAGGATTTCATGTTCAGGCTTTAGGGTTTTAGGGTCAAGGCACGAAGCCATGAACCCTCAGCCCTGACCTGTTGGAGCCCTGGCAGGTGTGCTGAAGCTGCTACGTAGAATAACTTATCTCAAAGAGCTGCTTGGATGCACCGGTTTTGGGTTTAGGGTTTAAGGTTTAGGGTTTAAGGTTGGTGGGACATTCGAGAACCTTCGGAGTTTAAGGGTGAGGGCCAAGTGCCAAATGCAGATGTGACTCTTGCGCTATGTCGTGGCACAGTTCGGCTGTCACGAACTTGGTCCCACTGAACAGGAACCCGAAAAAGAGACCCGAAAACAAGAAACATTGGCATTCCTGAGTGTTTCTTGGGCAGTAGCTAGCTAGCGTCAAGCAATCGCCAGTCCTGCGAGGGCTTTGTTGAAGCAGTAAGGGTTCTGGGTTGAGAGCCTTAGGCTTTAATTGAATTTTAGGTTTACGTCTTGGAGTTTGGGGTTGTTTCCTCCTCCTAAATTAATGCGCCCCTAAACTTGCAGCACGAGGCTCCGCAAGCTACTCACGATGGCAACGACCTGCATGAAGACTCTGCTGTGGTCGTTCCTTTTCTGCTTCCTCATAATGCGGCTTGACCACTTTGGCTCTATTTGGTTATCGTTGTATGACTTGCCTCAAAACTGCAAGCGGCCGAATAAGGGATTGCTGCACGTTTCTTGAGAGGACAATGTTGATCTTTAGGGCACAGGGCTTATGGTTGCAACCACCTATGCCACTGCAGAAGAGAAAGCTCGGGAAGCAACGGGACAGAAACGGCTTCCGAACACACTCGTGACACAAAGGAGCGCAGCACAACGCGCCTCGCATTGAAGGTGTATGATGCACAGATGATACGCATAGCCCCAGACTTGCAGGCGGTCCACCGTTTCGTTGCATGTCTTTTAGAGACTTTAGATATCCTGCTCACGACTTAGGCCCTCGACCCTAAAACGAGACTTCACACTGTGAGAAGTCTGTCGAGCTCTCGGACCTAGGACGGTTTGGGCGATGCTTCTGGTGGACCTTGTCCACCCGCAACTTGCCCTCAGTAGCTGAGCAGGTTTTCTTCAACCTTCTTGGGTGCGCTCCGAGGTTGATGTTTGGCTAAGTTTGCTGCGTGATGTGGCGGTTCATAAAGCTACGCTTGTTGGGCGTTTCTACTAGCAGCTGGTGTGGAACTTAGCGACTCGGTGCCGAAAGGCGAGTAGGGACTTATGACTGTGGTGAGGCACTCTCCGCGGCAGGTGCACAGGGTATCAGCATCTGAAATGCCTTCTCTTAGGAACTGGGCTCAGGCGCTCACGCCGGCCCCTGCCACTAGCCACAATCCTGAACTGGAACAGACACTTAGAGTTCACGTTTCACTGCACTACAGGCCCAAGGCAGTTCTTGAACCGAAGCCGAAAATCGAACAGTCGCAGCCCAGCAGCACGAACCTCACAAATCCCCGTCAAGAACACAGAGTGGGAGTTTCCGAAAATTAAGGGCACACTTTTGGGGGTACTCATAATAAGGATCCTACTATTTAGGGTGCTATAATAGGGTCCCCTATTTTCGGAAACTCGCAGTTGGCAAGCACATAACCTTCCAGCCAAGTATACTTGAACCCAGCAACTGCTTTCAAAAAGATACGTGGGTGGAGGGTGTTTCATTATGCGTTTTTTAGAGCTAGCTTTCCACGAGTATAAGTGTCGGGAACTGAATCTTCTCGCTGTGGGCGAATCAACAGGGAGGCACTGAAACGATGCTAGTTCGATTTGGCGCACAGTGCTGCTGAAGGTAGCTGTTGGAGGTAGGCAGTTGTGTGCGTTCACGCTCATTTCTGCGAGCGGAACTGTGAACTTATGCAGAGTTGAATAAGTGGTAATATCATGAGCAGTATGTCATTGCTCCAGTGCTAGCTCCCTTGAGCTCGCACTACGATAGCCAGTGCTTCTGGTAGTACCTGTCTTATTCACTGTGAGCCCTAATCTTAAAGAGGCTCGTCAAAATTGAGCCGGCTCTCATGGACTGCGATCAGTGTCAGCGGGCAGCAGGCTCGGCAACTCGGCTGCCTAACCATCATAGAAGGTTACATAGGGGTGTTTGGATTTTTGTAGGTGTTATGCCCGTTGTTGCGATCCAGGGCTTGGGTAGTGGGGCTTATGGGGTTTTGTTTTTGTTTTCCGCGCTTCATGGTTTTGGGGTGTCGGGTGTGCCTGCATGCGGCTTACCGAGTTCTATAGAGGTCCAGCCAGCTGTAGCAGCAGCCGTGCTGCTGCGTTGCTCTGGAATCGTGGGAGCGCAAGATGTGTCTCGGGCTAGCGGGTTAGCTGGGGGTTCAGGCAGAGGTTCATGTTTGTTGAACTTCACTGTTCCAGACACGAGTTGCCCAGCCCGACGCTGTTCGGTCAAGTTCATTTCAAGACCCTGTCCTAGGACGACTTGAGAATGCTAGTTTCTCCTGAAAGTTGTTTCAGCAAACCCTAAACCCTAAACCGTATCACGTCGAACCCAAGCACCTCGCCTGGCTCCGAGTTGTGAGAGCGTGAACCTGCCCAAACTGGAACCCAGAGAGCCCAATGCCCCTGAACTAAAGGAATATAGCTTAAATCATAGTATGAATTCCCTTATTATTTAAGCTATATTCCTTAATTAAGGGGTATTGGGCTCTCTGGGCTGGAACCACTGATGCTAACAAGGTCATGGATGCCAACCTGCTGCTCTTCAAGAGACTTGACATTGAAGAGTCGGTGTCTGTTTAAAAGCATGGAAGTTTGCATACTACTTACATACCCCTAGGCCCCCATAGTAGTTCCTTTTTTGAATTACTTTATGGGATTCTACATATGAACCACGAACAGGAAATACTATGGGGCCTATGGGTAGTTGTATATGCCGAGTGGATGTATGAAGCTGAGACTCCTCATAGCCGCATAGCCCCTAGATCAGTCAGGACAAAAACTCTTGCGGACCCAAATCCACTCAACGCAGAACTTGAAGCTCTTTGGGTCTTGCATGGGCTGCGCCTTGCGTTCTCCCTTGAGGCCTTGGCTTGGAGTCAGGCTCGTAGAAAGTAAGTTTCTCACCGTTTCGGAGCATTTGCTGGATATCATATGCTTTGCACCTGTTTCTTGGTCTTCCTGCACCTATGCGTCCCTTTTTGTACCCCTTTACCGCATCCCTGAAAGGATCCCTTTTTTTGCAAAAGGAGGCCCCTAAGTTTCAGCCCTAATTTGCTCATCAGCATCCGTTACCCTTGAGAAAGGAAGCCTCTTCGAGTGATAGTTACGGCCTGAACTATATTAGTTGGCTTTGCTAGGTCCAAGGGCCATTGCTCCAAACCTTTCCCATGGCCTAGACTACACCCACAACTCGCCGGAAGGATCATGAGGGTAGGGTTTACGGTTGTGGCTCCCCGGTGCGCCGGCTCCCGTGTCCCAAGGTCTCACTGAAAGCCAGACGACTGAACCGTACTTCCGGACCCCGAAGCTGCAACCCCTGAACCCTAAACCCTATAACCCCTGAGCCCCAAACCCCAAACCCCTAAACCCCGCATATATGCCTCGCCTGGATTGTCCGAGTGTGAGCGCCGAAACCCCTAAACCCCTGAACCCTGAACGACTGCCGGGATGTCCAACAAAGGACCGTTGTGGCAGGCGACAGTTGGGGTGAGATCGCTGTTCCCATCATCCAGGCAGGTCCCGCCGTCGGAGTTCTTGGTTTGCCGGCTTGAAAACATGTAAGTGAAGCTAGCCTGCAACTACACACAGATCAGCAGGGATACATTCCTACATGCATGCACACATACACAGATAGACATAGGTAGATAGATAGATGGATATGTCGATAGATTGACTGAGAGATAAACAAATTACTAAACTCATATGTATAGTGTATATAACTATATACATGCACGCACAAACAGGGCTGACCCCACCAACCTGTGGTTGTGGATGCTGCCGTCTCCCGCCCTCCCTATACATTGTGGACTGTCACGTGTTCTGCGCTTAGGTTCTCCGTCCTATGGTTGTGTGACGGTGGATGTGGTGCTGGCCCCGTATGATAGTATCATCATGTTGCTGGCCCATTGCCGGCGAGCACTGCTGCTTTGCGGCTGCTTTGCGTTCCGCTCCTCTGTTCAGAACTTGGACCTGCGGTGCTGCTGCCAGGGATTACGGGAGGAGCAAGGTGGACAGGAAACCCGGAGCCCAGCCCGGATCATATGTACCTATATGACTATACGTACATACATATGCTGTATTTGTGTAATATATATATATATATATATATATATATATATATATATATATTCATACATACACACATGCACACGCGCGCGCACACACACACACACACAATTCTGCACCTTCTCGGCTGTTTTTCTGGTTGAACAGCTTTTGGTTTGGGCACATGAGGACCTGGGGATAGATAGGTATACCTACATACTTACCAACAAACATACATACAGACACTTACATATGCCAGCTAGCAGCAGCGCATCAGCCCGCCCCACAGTGGAGGCTTTGTCTCCGTTTGTTGGCTTCGGCGAGTTGCAGCCGTACACTGACTGCTTGATGTCTTCTGAACATAGCATGACGGTGCAGAACTCCGAAACCTTAGTGGTAAATGCAGAGCAAATCCTACAGTAAACCCAAGCCGCATGCCGCAAGCATATGAAGGTAGTGGTACCATTGGTTTGCTTCGGTGAAAGCTCACTGAACTCTATACAGGACCTATGGTCTGTGGTTCCGACGTCGTCTGTGCATCACATGACATGCATATCTGCAAGGTGATTGTGTTTGTTTGCGGATGTAACTTCTGCAGGCTAGTGAGCTGTAATGCAAGACCTCGGTTGCTGTCGCTGCAGAGAATGGTCTCCTTCGAATGGAGCTGACGGCACCGATTCGACAGTGCCAGTCTGAATGTGTGTTGCAAGTCTCCGCATTAATGACCAACACACTGAGAGCAGAACCATTGAGTTAGAGGCTTTCGCTGGTGCCTGAAGCTGTCAAGTGGCAGTGAGCCTGTGTTTGAGTGGTAAGTACAGCATGCTTTGCAGAACGACCACGTCGTGTGGCGAGTAACCGTTTTTGAGAGAGTTGAAGCGTTGGGTTCGCCCAAGCTATGTCCTGCTGTGTTTCCCAAACGTATTCTGGCACGTATCCTGCATCGAGGTTCGTCCGTGGGACCCCCTCAACCCTC